CCCAGGATCCCTGGGTTCTGCAGGGCGTGCTTTCGCTCCACGCACGTCGAGCTGGGTGTGCGCTTCAGCCCACTTGGCCACCGATCCCCCCTCTCTGATCCCAAAAATCCCATTGTCTGGCGTGCGGCGACAAGGCTACCATTGGCCGCTGAGCGTGCAGTTTCAACGACCGCTGCCAGATGGCGCTGTGTGCCCATGCCGCCTGAGCGCCGATAAAACTAACCGTCGCAATCCCATGCCGCTACGGGCCCCGCACTGGTTAAAACGGGCACGCTGGTGCGCGCTCTGAGGCTTCTGCTCGTCTCGCCGCCGACGAACATGGCGCCGCCTCTAGCATCCACATCGTCGGACATTCATGCTTTCGCGTTCAGAACTTATAAGAAGTGCTTAGGTGTCTTCCGACTTTTTTTCTTTTTTTGCTGCCTGAATTCACTGAGCTTTCTTTTTTGTTGCTTGCTTAACTTTTTTCTATGGATCAAGAGTTTTTTAATGCGAAAGCATTAACTGGTCCCATAGAGCGAGCAGACGTCATCAGCTTTGAAGCTGCGCCAAACGGCACCTAACTCCTTTCTTCAAGCTTTGAAACCATGCAAAAAGCCTAGCCAAACAGCGTCTAGTTTTCCCGATCCCAAAGGAAAGGAGTGAAGCTGATGGATTTTTAGCTTCGGTCCCATTGGCTGGCGTATGTTATAGTTTCAAGGAAGAGAAGGCTTTGATTGGCTGCTGCGCGTCAGTTTCAATGACTGCCACCCATTGGCGATGCGTGTCTGCGCCGTCAGCGCGCAGGTAATACGGAAGCGCCCAAGGTCAGAGCGGCAAGGAGAGGGCGTGCTCTGGGGGGGGGGGGGGGGGGGGGGGGGTTGTCAACGCAAATACGCCATAGACGAAATAAGGGAGCGGAAGAATGACATGCATGCTTTCGCATTCACAACAGTGCTTAGATGTACCTCAAGCCTTTTTTTTTTTTTTTTTTTCGTGCCTATTATTGCGTTTTTTTTTTTTTGTATTATTATTTTTTGTGTTTTATTGTTCATGCTGTGTAAAGGTCCCGGCCAGGTGCGCGTGTAAGCGTGGTGGTGTTTGCAATCTCCGCCAACTGTATTTAGAGGCTCTTAAATGCTCTATTTGGTAAGCTCCCGTTTTACGATCCCCTTTAAATTTTATATATCCGGGTTTGACATTCGTAGGAACATTGAACACCAAGAGGAAGCAATAGCTTGACGAGACAACTCGTGGAAGAGTCTTTTCGATCAATTCATCGTGGACCCTCGGCAGCCTTTAGTAGATGTATATATGTAAATAAAATGAGGGGTAAAGGCTTCTCCCTTACATCTTCTATTCTTTTGCATTAGGCAATGGAGGTCAGCATCAGCAATCTGTCAAACATGAAAAAATATGTAGCAGCCTCTGGGATGCCAACAAGAAAGATGAAATCTGCCACTTCCATCTTCAACAAACTAAGAATCAATCGCAAGAAAGTGGCAACGGATTCAACTTCATTGGCAGAGGGTGGGGAGGTTTTATATTATAGGTGGCAAAATATAATGACGCCGAAAACCAGCAGGCACTTAACGCATATGTTTTTTTGACGCTGTGCTTTTTTAGTGCATGCTCTTCTGTCGGTGTGCTGTTTTGACGCCGTGCTGTTTTGACACCGTGCTGTTTTGACGCTTGCTGTTTTGTCGCTGTGCTGTTTTGATGCGTGCTGTTTTGATTGTGCTGCTTTGTCTCATGCTGTTTTGTTATGTGCTGTTCTGTCGCGTTCCCCACTTCAACTACTTTTTTTGCTCAAGCATTGAAGTACCTTGCATTTTGTTCATCAGATGGTGCAGCAGGAGTATAAGTTTTGCGGCAGAAAGCATTATGATGCTATTCTAAACCCCTCAATGACGAAGTTAGATTGCAGGTCGTGAACTTTTTGTACTAAAGAGGCCAAGGCGCAACACTAAAACTCTATTGTCAAAAACACTTCAGTCGTATTGTGGTGAAAAAAAGGAAAACGCACAAATGTATATGTCAAAAGTTTGCGTCCTCCCCCCCACTGGGCTCATAGCTTCATTTTTGCAGTGTAGGTGGTGAAAGCATTTTTCAGAAATTTAGAGGTTCTTGAAAGTCGCATGTTTAACAGTTATTAATGATAGTCATCGGGTGTATTGCGCCACTTTGTTCATTTCAAAATAGAGAAAAAATATTTGAGCTCAGAACTGTTAGTGACAAAGCATCAACTGTCTTTTGGTTTTTTTTTTTTTTTTTTTTTTTCACTTCGTAGCACTTTAGGATTTGGCAGTACTGGGGCGGCAGTTCACGCGTCTATGCGACGTCCCTATGCGAAAAATGCGAAACATGAGGGCGTCTATGCGACGCCCTCATGTTGCCCACCAAAGTCTGCAGCATGCCGTTCATCACTTATACTTTTTAAAAATCGTTTTAGACAGACTAAGCGGAACACTGCTCAAACAAGAAGCATAAACCGAAAAGCAACACGTCTGCATGCGAAGAAAGTAGACGTGGCATGCACCGAGCAAAAGTGGCACGCGGTTCGTAGGTGCGCATGACCGTACGAGAAGAAAAGGAAAAAACTTAGACGAGACTACCAGTCATAAGTCCTCCAAACACACATTATTTTTGTCCTCCAAACTAACACATTATTTTTGTGGGTTAGTTGTCTTCTTAGTGACTAATCTCATAAAGCAGCAGAGTCGCTACACCACCCTAAACCCTCTACTTCTTAAAGAAAAGCTCAAGTGCTTTTAGAAAAAAATGAGTTAATGGTTGATTCTGATGCATTTGTGCCTGCTGGGTCCAAATATTGCAACCGTTTCACCCAAAATAATCACTAAATGCGAAAAAAAAGCGAACAAGACAGAAGTAATCGCCGCAGCAGTACACCTTTACGTCGTAAGGCGACCATCTCGATTCTCACTTGCTGTCGCTTGCGGGAGCAGCTGGGCGCTGAGGCTTCTGCTCTTGGAAATCGAGTACAGCGTCTGATTTCTCTATATCTTTCGATGGATTCAGAGGACCCTCGACATGACAAAGTACGCATTTTGGCCGTTGGCAAAGCAGAAAAATGACCCAGAGCACTAATAAGGGCAGACACGAGTAACCGCTTGCGCCGACGCGGCATGACCGGCTTCATACGTACGTAGTGACTGATACTTAGTGTAACGTAAAACGTCGACATTGAAAGGAGTGCTATTGAGGGGATGCGTCAGGCCAGATTAGCTTGACCCGGTCATCAGAGAACAAGAATTCGGCACACATTGGCCTTCATGCTTGGCAGTTGTTGGACACGTGAGCGTGCCTACTGCATTGTTCACCAATGCTGAAGTGGTTTGAAGGGATAGTATAATCGGATTCGGGTGACGGGCAAGCTTCTCCTGAGATGAGACAGGCGATGAGACAGGGTCGCCGTTCTGTCACCGCCATATCCTTGCGTACTATGCGAATAACTGTGCAGAAGGTTCATCCTTGTGATCGTGGTACCCTCTGCTGCGTTTAGTTTGTTTGCCACCAGATATTACGCCATTACAGCTTTCGAAAAACAGAGATGTGTGCCTGACAGCCATCAATTTGATGTTGAATTTGTGAAAGCTTCTGAGGCCTCTACATTCACATACTTCTCCCAAAATTTGTTGACTGCATAAGACCACCACCAAACATTATCACTGTCTGATCTCATTTCTGCGGCACGAGGAACCATTGCATGACACAAACTTCATATGGAAAACACTGCGTGACTTGTAAGAAAAGAACTCAATCCACAACAAAATGTTACATGCTTTGTATCTCCAAATTGCACTCGTGAAGAGAACATGTACCTATGAAAGGAAAATTTAACAAAATTTATTTTTTCGTTTAAAAAATATTTACCTCAAATAATATCAACAACTGTAAAAAAAAAATCCATGCCAAAACAAGTTGCATTGTAAAAGACATGCGGTGAATTGCATGACCACTTATTACAACAAGCCCTCCTCTCCTAAGTGACTGGGTAGTGGAGTAGATTAAAAAAAAAAAAATCTTTGGTAGCGGAGTCAGTCCGGGGATTATGGTCACCTCTATGATATAAGAAACCAAAACTAAAACATTAACATAAGGCAGTTAACAGAAAAGAGCCAGTGGAAGCCCACTATTTAACTACATGATTGCAGCTCTTCCAGTACACTGTGCACAACTAATAAGGAAATAGCTTTTTTTTTCTGGAACAGTCAACCTGAAATTCCTACCTAGTTTCGTCTACTCTTTGCAAGTACCTTTTAATGCGCTGAATTGCCTTCTTACCTTCAAAGATGGTCAGCAGAGCGTCGGGTTCAGGCGAGCCTTCTTCAGGCCCAAACCCTTGCGTACATTGTTTTCATATGCGCCGTCCGGAAGACGTTTTGAACAAAAAACAGTGTACTTGCTCAAACTCGTCTGTTTGCATTGTGGGAACCCATCCCTTTAAAATCTCTGTTGGAGTGAAAAGAACGGTAAGTGAGAAGAACTGCGACGAGCGCTGTTCGTGCAAGCCAACTGCTATACATGAGTATGGCATCGTGCAACAGCACGAGGCAGTTGCTTCGGTGCCACAAGAGTTCTGACAAACTGAACAAACAAGAGAACAATCAACATGTCAGGCGAATAGGTCGATAGTACGACCGGTCAACGGTTAAAAGCAAGCGCTATGCAGCGGCTGAACGACGATGGTTCGAAAGGTCAGCAGGACGGCCTACCTCTCCTCTTTCCCTCTGCTTCGGAGGGGTGTGGCTTGAGCGCTACTTTGAAGGTGCTCTTCAGGTTGATTTGCGCACAAAACGACCGAACGAATACGATGTTGGTGATAGCTGAGGTCTAATTAACTAGGCTCGGGTGTTTTTTCTTATATTTAAAACCGCTTCAACTTCCCTTTAAGTCCAGCTCAACCATAGTTCAAAATATGGTGGTTTTGCCTCGATGATTGCACAATGTGCCCTGGTTGCTCCACACAAAGTGAGATTGACCCTTGTTCTCTTGTGCAGCTCTGCCACCGATCTTGGTGCCACGCCAGTCGGGTGACCTGCCTACAGAGCTTCCCATCTTGGACGATTATGCCAACTCCGTTCCCGAGAACACAAACTTCCCATCGAGCTTAGACGTACAGACTTTTCCTCTCACAGGTACCTGGGTGCAGGCAACAACTTGCACAGCTTGTATCGAACTGAGTTGGTCGTTGATCGAATGTCTCATGCAGAAGACAAGTTGTGAAGGACCCGTTTCCCTTGCAGAGACACCTCCGCCTGGTTACATGAGCGAGGACGGAGAGAACACTGATCAAAATGGTGCAGACAGCATGGGTAAGTTTCTGGGTTTTTTAGAATTGCTCTTTTCATAGCTAGCTTTAGTCACCTTCGCTTCTAAGAAATATCGAGGCTGTTCCTTTGATCACCGCAGCTGGCTGCGGGAATCAAAGAAACAATCTTTTTGTCCCTCCTGAAACAACATGATTGCGATATCTGGTGAAGCTCTGATGCCTCAGTGCTTTCTGCGGATTTTTGTCTTATTCCTTATTCGGCTACTTCTGACACGTTTATTTGCAGTTATTAAACGTCAATCAAAGCTGGAAGAAATGACCTCATACTTGTTTGAATGATAGCCAGTTCATAAAAGGAGATGGATGTTCCTAGCATGTCTATTATACAGGTGGCTTAGTGAGAGGTATAGATCGTAGAATTTTTCCAGACTCTAAGCTTTCTGGGTATCGGTTGGCCACTGAGATTCAATTTCAGTCGGCCAATTTTCATGCATTATGTTGGAACCGAATACACTGCTTGTGTTTCCAATTACTCTAGAATTCCGTAAGAACGCCCATCCATTTTGAAGAGATAAATGATGCATTGCGTTGTTGAAAGGGACGGCAAGATAAATGATAGATTGCGGAAGCTGAAATCTCTCCAGCCTAGTCCAAGGTCATGTTGGCCTAGGCAAGAACAAGAAGCACAGTTCAGAAAGGTGAAAAAGGAGGAGGAGGAAAGGTGAAAAAGGAAGGAGTCATGGCATTGGCCAAGTTGCGCGGCAGTGTCTTGCACCAAAGAGAGAGAAAAATGAATGCGACAAATTAGAATTTTTATTCACGTATTCCTACGCAAGTTTGACAAGACTGATGGTCACTGTCCGAGCACATATCGGTGAGGTTCTACCGTATCACCTTCTAGCTTTTCAACGGGCCCATAGGTTCTTTCTCCCATAGTCTGCCATTGGAAGTGGTGGAATGTATCTATTGTAAAAAGATGCTTTTGTCATTGGGAGCTGCCAACACATAATGAACTTGCTGGCTCTATCTGTTTCGTCTGTCTGTCGTAAGTGGCCTCTTTTTGTTGTCCCGTTTTTTTGTGCGTTTTTTATTTCATCAAGTACTTCTACCAACTAGCCCAGCTTTCAACCCCGTTGCTTTCTACAGTCGCGGAGAGAATAAGAACGACAGGACGTGTCTTTTGAACGCCGAGCCTCCAGCATGCGCTCCAAGCCTTCTGCCTTGTTTTGTCCGCACTCGGGGTGCACAAGACATTGAAGTGTTGTCAAAGGTAGGAAGCTCACACTGGAGGCAGGATAGCTGAATCTCCCCCCTGCTGTTCTCACCTTGTCTGTGGTTATTGCAAAACCAACGTAAATGTGCGAGCTCGGCACTTGGACGTGGCGGTCGTTACAACGCGTGCCGTCTCCCTCGAGCCAAGCGGCGTCGAAGTGCCGAAGTCCAGATCTGCCAGGCTCCAGGGATTGCCGACAAAGGCGCTTGGACGCCGCGCACGACTTTGGGCTGGTGCTGAAGTGTCGAGACATAGCCATTAAAACCCGGTTCACTTCGGAGCAAAAAAAAAAAAATTAGTACATATCAGTGCCTCGCGTGGCACACAGTTTCAGTTGCAGTCTCGCAGCGATCGCTTATTCTATACTTAAGCCTAAACTGATACCGCACTTTTTTGCATCATGGCCAGTTGATTTCCGGCGGGTAGTGCATACAAGCAGAAATTTATGAAAGTTACCTATTGTGTGGTTTCGTTTTGGCTTTCTTTTTGGAACAAGTACAGCTGAACTTTCATCTTTGTTATTTCTGTATGGTTCACTACCAGGGTGTCTAGCGATCAAGAAAACCGGGAATTTTTAGGGAAATTTTATGTACCGGGAAAAATCGGGAAATTGTCAGGGAAAATGAGCCGGTAATGCCATCGAGTGCCTTGAGCAAAGACTTGAGGACTTGGGGCCAGAAAAATAGGCAACAAACTCTGCTTAGAGCAGTGTGCGGACTCTGCTCACCCGATGTAGTGTGCGCTACCCGTTGCAGTGCAAAGGGAATAGTCGACAAGTCCAGCCAAGGCTTGGATCGGATTGGATTGAGGGTGCGACACTAGGCCAGATCCAGTTACAGCTACTAGATTTAGTAACAAATGGGAAAGCCGCAGACCCCAGTCCAATCCAAGCCTTAAGCCAAAAGTATCCAAAAGTGTTCATCTGGCGGCCATGCTGCCATTCGGTTATTGGTGTGTGACTGAGTGTCGTCTTCTGATTGTCTTTCCGGAAGTGTCCTCTTCACTGACGATGTCGGCGGCAAAAAAAGTGCTCATTTAATCTGGACTGGACGAACCGGAATATTTAGGAATAGGAAAGTTGGATTGAGGCCCGTGCAAAATTATGCTCACAGTGCTTAATGCTCAATGCCTTGTGTTATAATTCTTATATATTTAACTGCCTCTACAGTGGTGGGGGATTTCACCTTAAATTGTCAGGGAAAACCTGGAAAAGTCAGGGAATTTCAAAATAATAATTTGCTAGAAACCCTGACTATGCGACACTGTTGATGGAAACATGACTCTGGCGCTTTTTTTGCATTTTACTTTGAACTGGTACTCGTGGGCATCAAATATTCCACTTGGGTTTGTCCCCCGGCTGAGCAGTTTCTCCACCACTCTATAGTTTTGGTGACTATCCTTCAATGCTGAGAGAAAAAACTGGAGAAAACCGGAGATAAGCTTGTTTTGCACTAACAGTGCTGCAAAAAAAACATAATGCCATGCGAACAAAAATCAGTGTTGTGGAAAAATATATTGCAATGTGGCATGTCCCGATGTAACATATCACAATAAAAAACATCACAATGCAGCATCACTACTGCATTGTGATATGTTTTTGTACTGTATGCTTAAAAGTCATAAAAACTGGAGCTGCATTGCAGAATTAGATATTGAATATGCTACTAGTCTGGGTCCTTGTAACTGGTTGATTTGAATCGACAAACAAAACACTGTGGAGGTGACCAACCAAACAGTGCCAATTTAAATAAAGGGGAGACACTACCCAGAAAAAAAAGGTTTCTGCAAAAAAAAGTTCAATTTGAAAAATGCCATACTTACATAGCCATTATCCCTTGTTGGCAGATTTACATCTGCCAACATCTGGGAGTATTCCCAGAAACTTTCATTTGTTTACACCTCATAGCTAATATTTTAAAAATTATTTTGGTCCACCAATGCTATAGAAAAGGTAGGGGTTAAAACACTTTGAACATATTCTTCTCCATTCCACTTTTTAGGGGTGAAGCTCCTCAGGGTCTAGCCTTGTCCGGCATCCGTGCTCACATCGATTGCCATCCCATCTGTCTTCTTAAAAAAAGAAAAAATGTTTGTGCAGTCGACAGGATTAGAACCTGTGTGGGGAGACCCCAATGGATTTCTAGTCCATCGCCTTAACCACTCGGCCACGACTGCGGGACGAGTAGGGGGCTCTGAGATGTGGTAGTAACTCAAGAGCTGGGGATGTCATGGATGAAGCACTGCATATAGCCGCTCAGCGTCTATACAGGAGAGGGCGCTGTGGTCAAATGCGTATATAATTGCGTTAAACTTAGCACCATCAGCACCATCAAAATCGGCACCATCAGCAGTACCTATGAACAAGATCAGTATCATCAGCAACACCACAGCTTCGCCCCAATCAACATCATTCACCACGTGAAGATGCGGTCATTTTGGCATAAATTTCACTTGAGGAAAACTATCGTTTCTTAATGCGAGAAGAGGAAAGACTGACTACTTGTTTTTCCTAACTGGAATTTTATAAGCAATGCAACTGTGGAATTTTTTTTTTTTACTTCGTGGATGTCGCTTATAATGTATGTTAAGATTTTGTGGACGACAATAAAGGCAAAAATTACTTGATTTTTCGCTGCGATGTTAGCATAAAATGAATTACTTTTGGAAATTTTGTTTTTGCAGTTGCACTCTCCAGGCATTTCGCTGCAGATCTAGTGTAGAAAAATGTTGGGTATTACATTACTGTAAAATCCTGTAAGGACGCCCTTTCCCGAGAGATTGACCATCCCGTTTTTCTGGCTAAACATCCGTAACATAAAAATTCTGAAACATCGCCCACCCCTGATTCCCGTCGGACGTCAAGCTATGTCCGGCGGTCATTGTACGTGAACGGTGCGATCCGTGGCACTGGTACACGTCATGTCGGCTCCCGTAACATGCGTGTTGTTCACTCGTGTATATTGTATCGGAAAATGCGATTCTACTGTGTCCTCAATCTGTGGTTTTTGTTTCCGTGACATGCAAGTTTGTATAAGATTCCCGCTTTTTTTGTCCGCGATCTGCGTGCGCGATATTGGTTTCCGCGACAGGCGAGATTGTAGCGGGTCCCCGCATGTTTATTTTGCGATAAAACTTGAATCTGCTGCGTCCGCGATCTGCGATATCTATTCCCGGGAGATGCGAGCTCTCGGCGGGCCCTTCGCACCATGAGACGCGAATCTGCCGCGTCCGCAACCTGTGGTATCCTTTCCCCCGACACAGGTATTTGTAGCGAATTTCCGTGTGTTGATCGCATCGTGAAATGCGAATTTACCCTGTCTTTGGTATCAGTTCCGGCGTCATGTGGTTTATTGCGGGCGCACTGGTGCTTATTAATTTTCGGATAGTTTTGCCGTGGCATCTCCAAAGAGAGCCCACCCCATGTTTTTCACCATTTATCCCTTCATTTTGGGTGGGCGTTCTTACCGAATTTTACGGTAGATTCCTAACGATAGCTTTCCTAAACAAAGTCGGTGTGTTCCCGATACAAACGACTAATTTATTTTACGATTTATGTACAGAGATGAAACTCTGCACTGCATTCTGCATTGCAACTACCAGTATATACTGTAAATTTCATTCATATTAAGCCACAGGTTCAAAAGTTTACCCTCTTGGGTAGTGTCCCTTCTTAATTACTGATTACTTTTTATCAGAGTGGGGCTACCAAAATCTTCCTTTGTATGCAGGACAAGCAAATTTTCTTTGCATATCTGACTAGAATGATGCAAAGCAATAACTCTGACTTGTTTTTTTTTTTTATGTTTCAGACACAGTACTGCTCTCTTCTCCAAGCCCTTCTCCAGGTCTGTAGAATCGCTGTTTAGTTAATTCAAAGTTATTGTGGATTACTTGTGTTTCTAGATCAGTTGTGCTTTAGGCTGTCTAGTGCATGCAAACCTATAAACTTCAGGAGCTAGATCGGGGAAGAAAAACGTGTATGAAAACTGGTCAAAATATGAGTAGATTGTGTGTAGCAAGCAGTTTATTTGAGTGTGATGTGAAATCTGTCTTAGTGGCCCCATTTCTGGTTCTAACTGACTGCCCTTGATTTTGCTTTAGCATTGTGGAAGCTTTGAGTGTCATGCATTGCACCTGGAAGTTGGAATATATAAATGACCTCATGATTTTCAATTTGATATTCTGTTAGCTTGTATGACTTGAAAATACTTGGCAGTATCTTGGAAGCATGCAGAGGGAAACGGCATCTTTTAATGTAGAGACGGCCCACAAGAAAGGCTTTGAGCAGGGTGTACATTCCCGAAACCCTCTTCTCTCTGGTGCAAGCAGATGGCTGGTTATAGAGGGCCACGGACTGACGGGGACACCTAGCAACCGGGCTGCGCACTTGGATAGCCGGTGGGGCGCCGCGAAGTGCCATGTATGGGTGGCCCAAGGCTAGTTAATATTCTGTAATGAGCCATCTGCAGGGGTGGAGGTTAACTTGTTCCAGTGATGCACCCCCACCGTCTTTGACTGCGTGGTGCCGAAAGAGGGGCAAAGGGGGGCATTGCCGGCCATTTTCGGTTGCTAGGTGTTGTGTCATGGCGTCACTCCCTAAACCACAAGGGTTAAAGAGCGCAACGGACAGAAAGGAAGACACGGCACTGTGTCTGTGTCTTCCTTTCTGTCCGTTAAAGCTTTCTAACCATTATGAATCACAAACTCGCCCAACACTCCACCCTCGTCCCTATAACCAGCCAATCCAGTGCGGCTTCTGTTGCTATGCGTTCTCGCCAAGCCTCTTGAAAGATGCACCACGCCGCCATCTGTCAGCGCTTGCAGAAGGAGTTTTTTATCCAGTTTCCGCAGCCAGTGGGGCTGTGGCGCCATCTCGGGCGACGTTGCAAACTTTATATATGTGTGTTCCAGGCCAGTCCAAAGTCAGCGCATCCACCAGGGCACTAATGCTGATGCTGTAAAAGTAATTTTGTATCATCAAAAATGCAGTGACCATAAAATTAAAAAAAAAAAAAGTGGGAATAAAGTTGCTTTTAATAGCACCGAATTACACTCGACTAGGTTTTTGTCGTAAAAAAAGGAATCGGATATCATTAAATGCGCGGGTAAGTGCATCGTAAAGCGTAACAAAGAGGCGTCGAGGAGGCAAAATAACAGATCAGAATGAAAGCCAGTTGGGAGAGGACCCTCTCCAAAAGCTGTATCGAGAGGTCCAGTGCACGCTCACCAAGGGACGGGATGTCGGAGCAGAAAGGGTCCGCGGGGCGTGCCTGACGCTGTCCCCTCCCCGGCCTCAGACGTGCAGCCGGTGACGTACACGGAGCCGGCGTTCTGGTGCTCCATCTCGTACTACGAGCTGAACACGCGGGTCGGGGAGACCTTCCACGCCTCGCAGCCCTCGCTGACCGTGGATGGCTTCACGGACCCTTCGAGCTCCGAGCGCTTCTGCTTGGGGCTCTTGTCCAACGTCAACCGCAACTCGGTCGTCGAGCAGACACGCAAGCACATCGGTACGCTCCCTCACGGCCTCTTGGCTCCCGCTCCTCCGCGATGGTGCGGTGCCGGTAGGGGACGTGTTCCAGGCACCATGGCGACGGGTGCTGTTGCGGCGTCGTAAGAAACGTGGGGTCGGCAATCTTTCATGGCAGGGTTGCCTCGGGGGGGGGGGGGGGGGGGGGGGGGGAAGCGAGGGGGGGGGGGGAGGGGGGGAAGGGGAGGGAGAAGGGAAGGGGGGGAGGGGGGAAGGGGAGGGAGAAGGGGAGGGAGGGAGGGAGGGAGGGAGGGGAGGGGAGGGGAGGGGAGGGGAGGGGAGGGGAGGGGAGGGGAGGGGAGGGAGATGAGATGGTCGTTTCAGGGTGTCTATCGACGGGGAAAAGCAGGAAAACTAGGAATTGTCAGGGAATTTTAAGACTCCTGGAAAAGTCTGGGAAATTTCCAAAAAGATTGTAGAGTCGGGGAGTTTATCCCATGCTTGCCCGCTCATGCTAGAAGCGGCAGGCACTGGCAGGCGTAGCCACGAGCGCAGTCAAGTGCGGCGGCGCAGCATTTGCGTGTAGTTTGCGGTTTGTTTGAGTGGACTAGAAACATACGAGTGAAACGAGCCGCCGAGTCCGGTTAAAGTGCCGAATGTCGAAGGTTGGCGTGGTGGTGCTGCAATCGAGCTAGCTTGGGACGCGATGCAGCAACAAGGAGTGTGGCTGTCGCAAACGCTGACGAAGCGACACTAGACTCAGCTGCATGCGCCGTGATCCAGCCGCAGTGCGAACGCTGGAGGATGCTGTTAACGCCACGAACCAGGTGCGACTCATGAAGGCTCCCTAGGCGCGACGCGACCCGCCCAAGCTGACTGGCAAGTACGGCCGCAGCACCACCACGCCAACTTTCCACATGCTGCGCTTCACATGAGAGCACGTGCAAAGCCAACGGCTCGTCATTCTTCTAGTACACTCTAGAGCCACTAAATAAGCTACACTTTAGAGTAGCAACACTAAAGTACGGCGGATAAGGAGTTACTTGCGAAGCCGAGTAGCAGCAGCCATTTTGCTTAATTCGTGACTCTAGTCGGGTGGTGTTGCTCTGGCGTTATCGTGATGCAGGAGAAACAGTTACTGTAGCCAATACTAGGTGGCGCGAGTCACCAAGAGAACAGCCGTCATTCATCTACCCTCCGAGATGCACGCACCTAGAGATCCCTTAGTGTGTCGGATATGGTGTTTTCGCGCTTCCTTGTCAACGCAACTGGATGCCTGCACTGTACTAGCTCTGCCATGTGCGTTTGTGTCTTTGATTTGGGCTTTCTATTGTGTTATTTCCCAGACATATGCACGAATGCGAGTTGGATTCGGCCCGTTCCAAATGATCCAAATAATGCTCACTGCACAATGTGCTGCCAGAGGTTCTCCCTGAGCAACATGGGGAATAGGACGGTTACTAGTAATATTGAGGGTAAGAAACATCAAGGTGCTATGAAATCTCTGCAAAGTGTTTCCCAGACCCCAATCGTGTTACTTTTCAAGGCTGCGTCAAATGTGGACTTGCCTTCCTCTACAGCAACGGGCGTTCTGTCCGGAGATGGCGATAGTGCTTGTAGCGCCCTTGCAATTCGTCTAACCACTGCCACAGAAGCTCTTAGCCCCTCTGTGAAGACGTCGGTGGGAGGCCTTTTATTGAAGAATGAAGTCACAAAAGTCGAGATCATATGGTGCTTGAACACTATAATGACTCGTGGATTTTTTTGTTCAGCTGCTGCGTCTGTCTTGCTGTTTCCGTTGATGTCCCTCAAGTGTGAGACCGCCAGAAAAATGTAGCTTGGAAAAGACAAAGTGGGATACACCATGTGTCATGGTATTGGTCCAAAGTTGCTAGCAAGCCTTCTCTACTGTGCCATATCTGGTGGTTGCTTTTGATGAGTCACTGAGCAAAGTAACCCACAGAGAATGAATGGATGTACTGATCAGGTGCTGGGACCAAATTGACGCCACTGTAAAACGCGCTACCTATCTTTGTGTTTCCTGGGGCACACCTGCGCAGCAGACCTCGCATCTGCTTTCAGGAAAGGCACAGAAGTCATTAAGCAGACAAAGATACTACAAGTGTCAATGGATAAACCCATTGCAAATTTGAAGTTTCTGAGGTCCCTCAAAAAAGAATTTAGAGCCTCCGACACCAATCACCACATCCTGGACATTGAAAGCTGTGGACTATACGTCGTCAGTGGTGGATTCCAGACAGGTCATGCTGCGACGCACTGGGATCTGGTAGTGTTTCTTCATGGGAGCTATAACTTGTTTGACTGTGTGTCAGCACGTCACCCAGACTATGTACACTTCATGGGAAGTGCTCTTTTTCGGTTGAAGTTTTGCTCAGTAAGGTGGCTGGAGAATGGCAAGGTGATCTCAAGAGCGCTTGATGTTATTCCAAACTTGGTTAAGATTGTAAAATGCTAAAAAAAAAAGCAAAAAAAAAAAAAAAAAAGCTAGCATGTACTAGTTGCAGCACTGTTGAAAAGGCAGTAGATGACCAGATGCTGCCAGTGAAATTGACCTTTTTGCTCTCGATTTCTGAAGAACTCTAGCCATTTCTGGCTGAATTTCAGACAGACAAGCCCATGCTTTCCTTCCTTGCCCCTGCATTGGATCTCCTCTTACGGTCACTGCTGGCTAGAGTCGTCAAGAAAGATATCCTACAGCTGCCAACACATCTTCCAAGGTGCTTAGGATTGACTTGGAGAAGCCTGACAACGTCGTTGCAGCTGCTGCACTTGACATTGGGTTTGCTGCTAAGAATGAGCTTCGCGAGATCCAGAAACCATTGCAACGGACTGTGCTCAACTTAAAAAAAGACTAGTTCCTTCGTAAAGAGGTGTTCACAAAAAGGGATGGAAAGGTCACCTTTGAAATACAAGTTGACAAGAGGTGCAAGCTGCTTGGATCGGGCTAGTGCGTTGTCTCCGGAGGTTGGTGAGAAACAACTGTGGCATTGCACTGGGGGTGCTGTCGGAGCTACAGTGGATGACTGGCTTAGAAGCAGAGCGAACCCACCATCCCTACCGTAGAATACCGTGCATCCGCCCATTCCTCATTAAGCGCCCATTGCCAAATTTTTGAGATCTGAGAAAATACACACAGTACATTTATATGTAAAATTGATGACTGGACAAGCGCCCATCCCCCCTTTTTTGCGATTATTTCCAAAGTTGGAGTGGGTGCTTGCCCGGTATTTTACGGTATGTAGATGAATGCTTACTCAGCTCTTCACTGGCGGCGTTGAAAGACTTTGACAGGAAAGAGCAGAGGCTGGACACCCTCTGGTTTGAGTTGTGTTTATGGGACCACAAAGAGCTATTTTCGTTTGTCAAGCTAATTCTCTGCTTATCTCGTGGCAATGCAGCTGTGAAACGGGGATTCTCTGTAAACAAAAAGCGCCTTGTCGAAAACCTCAAGGAAGAGTCACTGACAGCTCAAAGTGTGGTGTATGATGGAGTCTTAGCAATGGGAGGGGTGACCAAAGTTGATCTTACTAACAGGATGGTGCAAATGGTTTGTGGTGCCAATGCCCAATGGAAGGAGGAGCTGCAGAAAAAGAGGCAAGAGAGATTGGATGCACCAGAAGCCAAAAGAAAGAACACAGTGGCCACTGTAGTCGAGGAGCTTCAACGAAAGAAGCAAAGGGTCATAAATGAAGCACAGTTGCTGGCTTCTTGTTATAATGAAGAAATTAACTCCCTGAAAGAGTAAGCCCTGGTCAATGATGTATTAACCGCAGGTTTTTTCATAAACAGTGCGGCTATTACTCGAGTAAATACGGTACATTGTATTTTGGTGTCAGTAGTTGTTTCTGGGTGTGGGTCAGGGAATTTAACTAAAATAGTCAGGGAAAACCTGGAAAAGTCGGGGAATTTGAAAAAAACATGTTGGTAGACACCCTGGGTTTTGAGAAATAATGAGGAGATTGCGGTATTAAGCAATCACGATGAGCAGCTTGGACGCCTCGCAAACCTAATGAGGGTCCATCTCATAGTTTTCATGATTATCTCTAAAAGTTCGGGCGGCGCTTGCTCAGTATATTAGGGTAGTAGTAATTTCGTTATTGCGAGAAGTAATCGAATGACTCGCATAATTACTACGAAAGTAAACTAATCTAACAAATGTGCAGTTAGATGTAAAATATAATTGAGTAGAAGTAATTCGATCACCTGTTGTCTGTGCCATATAAGTTAATAGAAATACCAGTACCTCTCACTTGCCCCTGACCCGTTTGGGTAACGCCTTTGCTGCCGTGGGCCGACACGTTTTTCGGCCCAGGTCTCTTTTTCTAGGTTGCCCTTTTTGGCTTCCAGGGATGGCTATTGATTACTTTGTGTATGCTCTCTTTTTTCCCAGGGCGCGGTGTGCGGCTGTACTACATTGGAGGCGAGGTGTTTGCAGAATGCCTCAGCGACAGCAGTATCTTTGTGCAGAGCCCCAACTGTAACCAGAGGTACGGTTGGCATCCAGCAACAGTCTGCAAAATACCACCAGGTGAGTCCGTTGCCTGCTGGCATCACTGGCACTTGTGGTTTCCTTTGCGCTTCACTGCCCTGCGTTCCCAGCGAGGCCGAGCAATTCCAAGTTATATTTTGAAAACCACTGCTGAAAAGTTAGTTCCCATGTCGTGGCTTCCCAAACTGGGTTTCCCGATACCTCAGTTGCCTAAATTCTTTCAGTTCTTGCTACTTTCAAGTAAAGAGTTTTTCAATTTAGCAGAACTCAAACACAGCAGAGCTATGCTATGCATTGATGCATGACAAGGAGGCAAGTAGTTGCCTTTCTACCTTGCATATGCCTTATTAGTGAACTTGGGAAACTCGAATTTTAACGCTTGCCTTAAAATCCCGTAAGAACGCCCACCCAGAATGAAGAGATAATTGGTGAAATTTACGGGAGAGACGAGATAAATGAAACATATTTCAAAATGCGGGAGCATAATTTTATGAAAAATTATTGATAAACATTGGAACACTTGCTCAAACTATGCGAAATGGGAGCTGATACCGCATATCGCGGTCACGGCGAATTCGCATACCACTGTGCGATAAAGCTACCAACTCCCATGTCATGGGTATGGATACCACAGATCGTGGATGTAGCAGGCTCGTGCTTCACAGTGCGATAAACAAGCGGGAAACTGCTACAAACTCATATCACAGGAACAGATATCCTGGGTGCAGAACGCTCGGGAAAACCACGGGGACTTGTTACGAGCTTGCATGTCACGTGAACAGGTACTGCAGATCATGCGCACAGCCAATTTTCATCTCTCGGTGCGATAAATGCAGGAGCCCTCTACAAACTCGCTTGTCCCACGTAGCAGTAACGCAGACCATGCGGTTGATGTGATTATCGTCAAACATAGTGTGATATCCGACGGAAAACGGGGGCTTGGTGTTTAATGTTTTAAAACTTTCACATTAATAATATTAAGGGAAAAAAAAAATTAGATGTGCAATCTCTCGGGGGAGGGAGTTCATGCGGGATATTACGGTGAGCGTGCTTCGGTAAATCTCAATCTTTGGGGTGAAGGTTGCCACTGGGTGAAGGTTGCCACTGTAGAGTTGAAATTTCCAACACTTAATAAGCCAATCTCACTGAGCGTTCCACACATGCATGACATTGCCATAATTGCAGCTCACACGGGACAGACGCCTGTGCACGGGATGACTCGTGCCATCTCGTGCTCGTGCTCAGCTCGCACAGAACACCGGCGGGGTTGTTGCGCATGCAGAAAGACTACAGTTTGTACGATTCATGCCAGCAGCAGCAGTATAACAAAACTAACTGGTGAGATCAGTCTATTGTAGCAATATTTTCTTCCCCGAGTCTATATGCTCCCTCTGATTAACGATTACGGGGCTTGCCTTTCGTGGACTTCTTTGACAGGTTTTGCCCTGACCGTCGCCATATTTAGTTATGTGTGGGCTAGGGAATTGACTTACTTTAGTTATCCCATCGGACGGCAATTAAGTTTCAGAGTGCCACTGCACTTGATTTGGCCCTCGTGTGCTGCGAGGTATTACTTTTTCCATGTTTTCACGTAAAGGCTGCTTGTTCCGTTATTGTTGCCCACACGGTGGTCCAGCTTCAGCAAGATTTTTTTGTGTGTATGGTGCTGTCATCTTTGTCATTTGGGAAGCGGCCCTACAATTGTTTTAGTAGTCGTTGAGACTGTTCACAAATTGTTCACCACATATGTAGGTCTTTTTTTCTTTTTAGTTTTTTACATGCTAAGATAATGTGATAATCATAAAAGCGAATCGCAAAATTGCACATAAATGGATGTACACCTTAGCTATCTGTCATTAAATATATGTTACTCCCAAAATTCATAGTCTCTGTAGTTTCTTTTACCTTGTGTACAAGCAAAGTCAAAATTTTAAGCGCAGTGTCCCAGTTGATGCTTGCACTGCCCGAGAGCGCGTGCTCGGGCAGTAGAAGCATCGGCTCGCTCTTATAGCTTATGCTACACTCAGACATCTGAGCAAGACAGAGTGCATTGGGTGGCTCAGTGAAACGGGCGGCAAAATCGGTCTACGGAGCGAATCCTCATCTTTGGCTACATAAGAGAAATGTTTTTTTAATTTGACTTTTATCACCCCAACTGGATTCTGCGCTTAAAGCGAACACACCGGTCCGATAGCCCAATGCGTCCGAGCCACCCCCGTCTTTCCGACATTCTCCAGGCTGCAACCTGAAAATCTTCAACAACCAGGAGTTTGCTGCCTTGCTGACGACGTCTGTGTCGCGCGGCTTCGAGGCAGTGTACCAGCTGACGCGCATGTGCACCATCCGGATGAGCTTCGTCAAGGGCTGGGGTGCCGAGTACCGGCGCCAGACAGTGACCTCCACCCCGTGCTGGGTGGAGCTGCACCTCAACGGGCCCCTGCAGTGGCTGGACCGCGTGCTCACCCAGATGGGCTCGCCCCGCGTGCCCTGCAGCTCCATGTCGTGAGCCGGGCCGCTCCACCCCGGTGCCTGCCTCACGCTCCCTCGCTCCGACCCTCCGCCGCTCCACGGGTGCTCTCTGGCGGGTCGTCCGCCCCGGCCTCCTCGAGAGGGGAGGCGCGTGTGCCGCTAGAACCGTTGCCATTCGCGGGGTAACGGTGACGGGTTTTCTTCTGCGCGTCTGCACGACGGCAGCCTTTACGACTTTGTGGGGAATGGAGACCGTTGCCAATTTGCACGGGTCTTTTGGAACGAATTCTATTTGGAACGGGAGGGGGGGTCACTTGTTCGAAGTTGAGTGTTCTTCGGTGGACGACATCGCGGGGGGAAGTGCGACCGAGGATACGTGTTGGAGGTGATCTGTCCCGTCGTTGGGCTATGGAACAATTTGAAGCGGCCTTTTGTGGCTCCGTGTTGGCAGCGAATTTGCCGAATGCTTGGGTTTTTTCGCTTTAATGGGCTTGTTTATCTAAAGCAAGTTTTTGAGCTTTCGAAATGTTTTGTTACCAAATATTCGCTTCTATTCCAGAAGGTACGTAGGGCTCGACTCGTCCTGTGGGCGATTGCCCGGAATGTTCTCGTTCGGTGCTTGCGGCTGTCGCAAAGTCTCTGTCCGCAACGAAACAGGGTCTAGGGTCGGTGCCCTCTCGAGCGACCTCCGGTTGTTTCCTTCCTTGTGGCACACGAGGGGGAACGCTTCCTCTCATTGGGAATTAGGTTAATGTTAATTAGGTGGTACTGTATACATCTTAATGGGTATCCCATAATTCTTTGGGCTTCTAGGGAAATCTAAAGTACTATAATGAAACTAAATTGACCAACTAACTTTTGCTGTTTTGAACTTCTTTTTTTTTTTTGTTTGAGAATTTAGAATATTCGGTGCGATAAACAAATCTAAAAAAAGATGTGCTTCGTAGTTACGGAGTGTGAATGTGGCAGGTGCAGGCGAAATGGCGTTGCATATGCAACCTGTTGGATGGTGGTTCTCGGACGAGCAAGGGGGTTGGAGTCAGGATCAACGGAGGGGGTGGGGGTGTAGCAGTTTGAGGGTGGATGGTTTCACAGGGTGCTGAGCGAAGGAAGAAAGGTTTTTGTGTGTGTCTGAACATGGCATCTTGTTTTATGTGTGTGTTTGTGCTGTCCACTCTGTCCCACCATTCATCCATAAGCGTGAGGTTTTTTTTCGTTGAAGTTGTTCCGCACACTGCGCCCCCGAGTTCCGAGCATGCGGTAACGGAAATGTGGGATTGCCCGACGGCTGTTAAGGAGTTTGCGGGGGCCTGTTGCTAACTCTGGTGTCAAAGGTGGCTGGGAATTTGCAGCCAGAAGAGGTGTCCTTGGCCAAACACTGGCAGTGGAGCTGGGCCTTCACTTTTTTTTTCTCATGTTTTCTCCTTGAGCATTATTTTCTCTGAAAGTTGGTGTCATCGGTGGCTCTTTGGACAGGCTGTGGCTATACTGTAAGGCTGGCTTACGCTCTCTTGTCACTGTTCCGTAACATGTCGTGTGTTGTGCATTAACGCCGATTGGGTTTGGCCCCATCGCTGAAGATGTCTGAATTGTGCTGTGTCAGTGGTCGTCTGTCCTCTCATTTTAACGAAACATTTTAGATAACTTATCGGAGAACAAACCGAAAAAAGATCCTTGCTGTAATTTTGTATTAACATTTCACAGTGCCGCATCTTGAAAATTTGTTCGCAAAATGTATGATACAAGCGGCTTTTATTCCGATATTATTTTGTCACCCAGCAATGCTGAGTCAGTTAGTTTTAGCGGTTTCTTTGTTTTTTTCATTAACATGCTGTAATTGCGTACTGAGTTCTTGGAGATAAGTGTGACTGATTGGTGTCGGAGCACACCTGCCTAATTGGGAGGTTGTGCACTATGGAAATTTACATCAGTGTCTGTCTTGCACCCAAAATAGTCTCCCAGCTATTTGTATCGGGAGGCATTTCGGTAAATGCCACCTTGATACCATTTGAGGAATGTTTTAGGTTAAGGTTTAAGTAATCTGGCTGGCCTTGAAATTGATTGCTATTATGATAGCTTTGTATCACTAAATTTACGTGGCTGGTTTATACGACTATACTCCGTTTCACCTTCCGTCCGAGCACAGCGGACGCTAGGAGCCATCCCAGCCAATGCGGCGTTGAGGGAGTGTCATGCGACCTTGAGCTCCCGGTGTCGCTCCGCCCCACCGGCAGGTCGCGTGACCTGCCGGTGCCGCCCCACCGGCAGGTCACGCGTCTTTCTCCCGGCGCTGGATCGGCTGGGATGGCTCGTGGCGTCCACTGCGCTCGGACTGAAGGTGGAACGGAGTATAGCATGGCTTTGTGTAGCGGATTCACTGTTTAGAAAAGTAGAACTTAAAAAGACGCGTACGAACATGGGGGAACTGTACTATGGGCCTCTTTTTTTAGCAATGCTAAAGCTTTGTTGCACTCATACTTAAGGTTAATTGCAAAAGTGACAGAGTTAGCCAGAAAAAATTCTACCATCTTTTGCTCTTATAATTTTCAAGGTTGGTTCAGATGATAAATGAATGACACTCCCGGTATTGTTTTCTTAGCTGATGCATGGTTTGTTATGGAGGAGGAACGTAGTCAACCCCCTCCAAGTGGCTGAGATTGCAGAGCAATTGGTCACCTTTCTTGTGCAGCTGAAGTCTGTTTTAGAAGCGTCTCTTCCTAAGTGACCGGACACCGAGGCCCCTAGTTTACTTAATAAAGGGCAGCTCCACTTGTTCTTTGTTATTGTGTTGATGATGATGCAGTTACCTTTAGTGTGCCCAGGAAGTCCATAAGGCAATTATAAGCTTAATTTCATCCAAATTTTTATTAATATGAGCAAAAACCTTGGAGATGTATCAGCTCAACGAAATCTACTAAATTTGGTGTGTAGCAAGCGGTACAGTCAACAGCGGTGGAAAAGTTGCTATTTTGTGCTGGCGTCTGCACCACCTGCGCTTCACGGGATACGTGTGCGCCTGTGTGCTGGATACATGCCACACTATAGCTGTCTGCTCGATGAGGTTCACCCCGTTAATCCCGACGTGATGCATGGTCATTCCACCCTCGTTTTACATACAGACTGCTTTTGAATGCCGCGTGCAGGTCGTAGTGGTGCAGACGCTGCCTACTGCGCACGATGCTACATATTTAACTTTTTGGGAAGCGAATGGTGTCGTTTGTTTGTACTTTTCATTGTGAAATTGCCTCTTGTCCCAACATTTTAGAATTGAGTGAAGTTGCCTTGGAAGGCTGGCACCTACACTTTCCTGTCGCGACGCCGGGGCAGTGGTCGCAACCTTTGATCAGGAGGCCAGATGTCAAGCCACCTTTGCAGGAGATTGCATAGTCTTGTTTCTAAGGTATTTTGGCACCTATTCACTAAATTTCGCCCCAAAAAGTTGTCCCGGCAAAATTAATATCTTTTTTAACTTGTTCAGAAATGATACGTGCCACCGCCATTTGCTCTTCTCCTCTCTATTTCGCACAATGTCAATGTGATCTCACCCCATTGGGGCACATCGGAGAAAGCAAGATGTGAGACAGCCGGCCTCTCGGTTCAGCGGCGTTCATTGTCAAAATTAGGATGTAATAGGCGAAATTCCCGATACTTCTAGTTGTATTTGGAACTTGGTGACAAAATTGATCTGGCTCCCTAACAGAATAATACAAAAATATCATCTGCTCTGCACATGCCACAGAGCGGTTCCTCCGGTATACGCTGTTCCAACAACAAGCTTACGGCCAGCGACGTTTTCTGCGTTGCTGTGCACGGCATGTGATTTGCTCACTTTCGAAAGCGATGAAAGCACACTGGGCTGTGGGTTTGTAAACAGAAACGGTGCATACATGGAATATTTTTTCAGCCACTGTTCTTCTTGCTTTATCCTCGATCAGATACAACCGCATAAGGGCACAAAATCCATTTCTCAACTTGATTAGCTTTACTGGCCTTGAATGTCCAATCACTAACATAGTGTCCAGGCTAATCTAATGCCTAATGCAGTCGGTTACATGGGAAGGCAAGTTGCACTATTTTAAAAGTTTTTGGCTTTCCAAATATGGCTATTATTTCTTCTTGACTCTCTTCCTGTAGTAATTCAAAGACACAACACATTCTTGAAGGTCCAATATCTTTTGGACTTGTACTACCAAACACCTTTACTAAAGCTTTTTATTTAGAGTGCAATTTTAACTTGAGCATTGTTAAATGAGAGTGGTATGATAAGTGATGGTAGGATAACACACACATTAACTTCTAAATTAATTAGTGTTGAAGTTTTTGTGGTATGGAGATTAAGTAGCAATTTTCTTTCAAACTGAAGTCTTGTACAATTTTTTTATATGCATCCAAGATAATAGTATTTAAGTGCTCATGTTTTTATTTGCCCTATGACTTCTTCCTTGTTGACCTTCTGCTGATTCTGTCTCAAATCTATATGCACTCATGGCTGCATGCTCATGAAACTTGGGAAATGCTATGACACCCTTGTTTTGTTAGGAACAAGTGCCCAATTGCAGATTGCGTGCTGTCTAGTCTCTCCCTCATCATCTTGTTACTTTGGACATTAAAGTCTGCTGTGCAAAGTCAGCTTTGCAGATCTTCCTATCTACACGGATTAACCACAGGAAGCGGGCTGTAGTTCTTCAGGTTCCCCCTGTTGATTTTTTTTTTTAAAGCCTGTTCTTGCTAAGTAAACATGTGATATGATGAAATTACAAATGGACCCTCATCAGCACTGTAATATAGTTGCAATGTAAAATCGCCGACTGTTTGCAGTTCATTTGAATGTATAATTTCTGGGAGCAGTTGAATGTCTGAAAGGTTGCATGCTAAAGGTACAACGTAATATTAAGAACAAAAGCGTCGTGCTAGAAAAGATGTGGATGGTTTTAGTAACTAAATGCAAGCAGCATTCTTTTTTTTTTTTTTAGTGCATTGTAATATTTTGTTTAGCTTTTGGTTGGGAGTTCAGGGACTTATCATTGAGCAATAATCAACCACCACAATGCAACATTTATTTTGCAAACCCTCACATGTATATAGTTTCCACACCCATGACCCATTGGAGAGCTCACTACAGCACTTGCTCCCTTCTCTTAATTTGGGTTGATTCAGTCTCGTGCAAGACCATGCAAGACCTTCGACTTGCGAACGAAAAGATTAGGTGACAAAAGACTGTGTCCTCGTCTTGTCTTTCTAGTCATACAAAAGAGAAACTGACACTGAGAAATGCAGTGGCTGACCATCGCCTGTATTTCATTTGTGCTAATGGGGGTTTATGGAATTCTTAGCTGTTACAAGTAGTGTCACTACCGCTTTAAAGGTCATTTGGAGCATAGTATTGAGGGGGCACCTTTGGAAGCAACGTTATTTGTCCTGGTTCCCAACCAAGTGGAAATTTTTGCCCTTCTCTGAATCCTCGCAGAGTGACTTTGAGTAACCCAGCTTCAAGGCTCTAGGTTTAAATGGTGCGAAATCTGTTTGTAGGGTCAGCTGCATGTGCGGGGATGTGCAATAAGTGTCGGAGCAAGCTGCTACGGCTCTCAATAGCACTAGCATTGGAGATAATTTCAGGCAGTGTAGTTGTCTTCCAAATGTGTTCCCTGTTCCTAGCCGAGGAAAACATTTCGTGTTGTTTGACTTTGCAATGACAATTTGCACAAGACTACATTGGCTGCTCAGTTCGAATGGGTCAGTGACGGAAGCGTGTACCTGTAGGCATGAATGTCTGAGAAAATAATACGGGCGTGCTGGACTAAAGTGTGAGCTATCAGGCTTCAGGTACTGTTCCCATGGGTGCAGCCGTCTCATTATTTGCTCCTCGCCGCGGCTCAGGTCTACATAAAGCTGAATGTAAACTTTCTTATTTTTCACTCACTGGCTGCCTCTGGATTGCTTTGGCTTTATCGCCAAGCAATAAACACAGAGCTGTATCATTTTGGGATAACAAGTGCCACATATGGGACCGTTTTAAGGGCAACTGCAGCTTTATCTTAATTTAAACTATATTTTTTATCAACTACGGGAAAATGTTTTGCAAAAACACCCATGGCAGATTCATTCTGCGATTGTTTCATAGTTATGCCACAAAAACTGGCTTGGTTTCAGTTTTGGTGTGCAAGATTTGAAGTTCTTATCTTAAAAAGTTTTCCTACTAAAAAATGCAGTGCAGTCTGCCAAAGAAAATGAGGAGTGTAGACCCACAAGTCCCTCAGTTGGGCACGAGAAAGTATCGGGCTGTGATTTGAAGTTTTCAAATGGCATCCCAGTCAGTGTACTAGGTTTTTAGGAACAAATTGGATATATTTTAAATTATTTCACTTATCTCAGACTGCTGATCATCCGGAAGTCATCTCTTCATGTATTTTTTTTACTTAAGAAAAACAATCTTTGTTTTTCTATGTGGACAAGTCTATTCTATGTGGACAAGTGTGATTCTTAAATTTAAATGCAAGGATTTAGGCAAAAAAGAATTGCCCTCCTCATGCCCCCTTTTTCTTTGCTGGCTTCTGAAAATGTCTTGTCATTAAACTTGATGGGTCAAACATGGGAAGTCAACTGTATTACCTATTCAATGTGAGAACTAAAATGTGCATGTAATTTGTTCACCTTAAATTTCGTAGATCCTAAGTTCCACTAACTGAATGAGCTGCCTAATATAGTCATCTGAAAACTGTTAATGTCTTGTTTGTATGATTTAGTTCAGTGCCTGCAACATTTCAGCTGCGGATTGCCTGTGTGCGAATGCTTCAACGTACACAGTGATGTGGCTCGGCACGTGACAATAAGTTTTATTTTACGAGGACTGGGTTTTACTAAATGCTCCCTGCAGGAATGAACTGGTTGAGCTTGTTTGGACAACTTTTTATTGGGGTGTGCTCATTCGTGGTGCTCGACGTACACAAGCAAGTTTTTAATGCCTTTTTCTAGTAATGTGACGTGTGTGTGTGTGTGCGTGTGCACATTGCTTTGAACTTCTGGAGAAAGGGTTTTTCCTAGACGGTTTTCTACGTGCTTTCTACATTGCGGTGTCATACATTGCCACATGTGATATCTTGCATTGGAATATTCAACTGCGAGCAGTTGTAGGTGTATAATTCTTAGTGCTGCCTG